CTGATCATAGTTATTAACTGACCATAGCTACTTACTGATTATAGTTACTTAATGTTTATGATACTTTCTGTTCAAAGTTACTTACCTCTCTTAGTTAATTACTGATCATAGTTCTTAAAATCGTCCGATTGTTCCTTTGTCAGCTATATATATGTATATATATAGTCCACCGATTTGGCATGCTCCGATTTATATACTCGTAGAATTATATAGAAAAATAAATGCATAGTTTTATTCAAATAGCTTGCTCTTAAATTTGTTCCAAATAACATCTCGCACACCTGAGCATATGATTCCCAACTGGTTCTCACATCCCCGGAACGAAGTGACTGCTGCCGGCCAAGTCTCAGAAATGTGTTGTGTTACAAAGTTGCAAGTCATTGTTTATTAGTGTTCAAAGTTAGTAACTGCTCATAGATACCTACTGGTCATAGATACTTACTGGTTATAGATACTTACTGTTCAGAGGTAATTACTGATCATAGTTATTAACTGACCATAGCTACTTTCTGATTATAGTTACTTAATGTTTATGATACTTACTGTTCAGAGTTACTTACCTCTCTTAGTTAATTACTGATCATAGTTCTTAAAATCGTCCGATTGTTCCTTTGTCAGCTATATATATGTATATATATAGTCCACCGATTTGGCATGCTCCGATTTATATACTCGTAGAATTATATAGAAAAATAAATGCATAGTTTTATTCAAATAGCTTGCTCTTAAATTTGTTCCAAATAACATCTCGCACACCTGAGCATATGATTCCCAACTGGTTCTCACATCCCCGGAACGAAGTGACTGCTGCCGGCCAAGTCTCAGAAATGTGTTGTGTTACAAAGTTGCAAGTCATTGTTTATTAGTGTTCAAAGTTAGTAACTGCTCATATATACCTACTGGTCATAGATACTTACTGGTCATAGATACTTTCTGGATATAGATACTTACTGTTCAGAGGTAATTACTGATCATAGTTATTAACTGACCATAGCTACTTACTGATTATAGTTACTTAATGTTTATGATACTTTCTGTTCAAAGTTACTTACCTCTCTTAGTTAATTACTGATCATAGTTCTTAAAATCGTTCGATTGTTCCTTTGTCAGCTATATATATGTATATATATAGTCCACCGATTTGGCATGCTCCGATTTATACACTCGTAGAATTATATAGAAAACTAAATGCATAGTTTTATTCAAATAGCTTGCTCTTAAATTTGTTCCAAATAACATCTCGCACACCTGAGCATATGATTCCCAACTGGTTCTCACATCCCCGGAACGAAGTGACTGCTGCCGGCCAAGTCTCAGAAATGTGTTGTGTTACAAAGTTGCAAGTCATTGTTTATTAGTGTTCAAAGTTAGTAACTGCTCATAGATACCTACTGGTCATAGATACTTACTGGTTATAGATACTTACTGTTCAGAGGTAATTACTGATCATAGTTATTAACTGACCATAGCTACTTTTTGATTATAGTTACTTAATGTTTATGATACTTACTGTTCAGAGTTACTTACCTCTCTTAGTTAATTACTGATCATATATATATGTATATATATATATGTATATATATAGTCCACCGATTTGGCATGCTCCGATTTATATACTCGTAGAATTATATAGAAAAATAAATGCATAGTTTTATTTAAATAGCTTGCTCTTAAATTTTTTCCAAATAACATCTCGCACATCTGAGCATATGATTCCCAACTGGTTCTCACATCCCCGGAACGAAGTGACTGCTGCCGGCGAAGTCTCAGAAATGTGTTGTGTTACAAAGTTGCAAGTCATTGTTTATTAGTGTTCAAAGTTAGTAACTGATCATTCATACTTACTGTTCATAGATACCTACTGGTCATAGATACTTTCTGGATATAGATACTTACTGTTCAGAGGTAATTACTGATCATAGTTATTAACTGACCATAGCTACTTACTGATTATAGTTACTTAATGTTTATGATACTTTCTGTTCAAAGTTACTTACCTCTCTTAGTTAATTACTGATCATAGTTCTTAAAATCGTCCGATTGTTCCTTTGTCAGCTATATATATGTATATATATAGTCCACCGATTTGGCATGCTCCGATTTATATACTCGTAGAATTATATAGAAAAATAAATGCATAGTTTTATTCAAATAGCTTGCTCTTAAATTTGTTCCAAATAACATCTCGCACACCTGAGCATATGATTCCCAACTGGTTCTCACATCCCCGGAACGAAGTGACTGCTGCCGGCCAAGTCTCAGAAATGTGTTGTGTTACAAAGTTGCAAGTCATTGTTTATTAGTGTTCAAAGTTAGTAACTGCTCATAGATACCTACTGGTCATAGATACTTACTGGTTATAGATACTTACTGTTCAGAGGTAATTACTGATCATAGTTATTAACTGACCATAGCTACTTTCTGATTATAGTTACTTAATGTTTATGATACTTACTGTTCAGAGTTACTTACCTCTCTTAGTTAATTACTGATCATAGTTCTTAAAATCGTCCGATTGTTCCTTTGTCAGCTATATATATGTATATATATAGTCCACCGATTTGGCATGCTCCGATTTATATACTCGTAGAATTATATAGAAAAATAAATGCATAGTTTTATTCAAATAGCTTGCTCTTAAATTTGTTCCAAATAACATCTCGCACACCTGAGCATATGATTCCCAACTGGTTCTCACATCCCCGGAACGAAGTGACTGCTGCCGGCCAAGTCTCAGAAATGTGTTGTGTTACAAAGTTGCAAGTCATTGTTTATTAGTGTTCAAAGTTAGTAACTGCTCATATATACCTACTGGTCATAGATACTTACTGGTCATAGATACTTTCTGGATATAGATACTTACTGTTCAGAGGTAATTACTGATCATAGTTATTAACTGACCATAGCTACTTACTGATTATAGTTACTTAATGTTTATGATACTTTCTGTTCAAAGTTACTTACCTCTCTTAGTTAATTACTGATCATAGTTCTTAAAATCGTTCGATTGTTCCTTTGTCAGCTATATATATGTATATATATAGTCCACCGATTTGGCATGCTCCGATTTATACACTCGTAGAATTATATAGAAAACTAAATGCATAGTTTTATTCAAATAGCTTGCTCTTAAATTTGTTCCAAATAACATCTCGCACACCTGAGCATATGATTCCCAACTGGTTCTCACATCCCCGGAACGATGTGACTGCTGCCGGCCAAGTCTCAGAAATGTTTTGTGTTACAAAGTTGGAAGTCATTGTTTATTAGAGTTCAAAGTTAGTAACTGATCATTCATACTTACTGCTCATAGATACCTACTGGTCATAGATACTTACTGGTTATAGATACTTTCTGGATATAGATACTTACTGTTCAGAGGTAATTACTGATCATAGTTATTAACTGACCATAGCTACTTTCTGATTATAGTTACTTAATGTTTATGATACTTACTGTTCAGAGTTACTTACCTCTCTTAGTTAATTACTGATCATAGTTCTTAAAATCATCCGATTGTTCCTATGTCAGCTATATATATGTATATATATAGTCCACCGATTTGGCATGCTCCGATTTATACACTCGTAGAATTATATAGAAAAATAAATGCATAGTTTTATTCAAATAGCTTGCTCTTAAATTTGTTCCAAATAACATCTCGCACACCTAAGCATATGATTCCCAACTGGTTCTCACATCCCCGGAACGAAGTGACTGCTGCCGGCGAAGTCTCAGAAATGTGTTGTGTTACAAAGTTGCAAGTCATTGTTTATTAGTGTTCAAAGTTAGTAACTGATCATTCATACTTACTGCTCATAGATACCTACTGGTCATAGATACTTACTGGTTATAGATACTTTCTGGATATAGATACTTACTGTTCAGAGGTAATTACTGATCATAGTTATTAACTGACCATAGCTACTTTCTGATTATAGTTACTTAATGTTTATGATACTTACTGTTCAGAGTTACTTACCTCTCTTAGTTAATTACTGATCATAGTTCTTAAAATCGTCCGATTGTTCCTATGTCAGCTATATATATGTATATATATAGTCCACCGATTTGGCATGCTCCGATTTACATACTCGTAGAATTATATAGAAGAATAAATGCATAGTTTTATTCAAATAGCTTTCTCTTAAATTTGTTCCAAATCACATCTCGCACATCCGTGCATATGATTCCCAACTGATTCTCACATCCCCGGAACGAAGTGACTGCTGCCGGCCAAGTCTCAGAAATGTGTTGTGTTACAAAGTTGCAAGTCATTGTTTATTAGTGTTCAAAGTTAGTAACTGATCATACATTCTTACTGCTCATAGATTCCTACTGGTCATATATACTTACTGGTTATAGATATTTACTGGTCATAGATACTTACTTATCCTCCATATTTTACAAACGTTTCTCTGGCAGTTATATTATATAGTATTCCAAAGGTATATGCACTTCGGCTTCCCCAAGCTAACTTCCTTTCTTGTTAGATCATAAAAACGTGGATTCCCACTGCTCTCTACCTTCTCAGACTGATGTTTTATAACCGAAATTCGTTACGATTTTTAATTATCGCTGGTCGTGTGTGAATAAACATATGCTGGTGCACTTGTGATTCCTCAGCGAAGTGATTCACAATCACTCTGAAACAGAAAAAAAACCAATCAATGTCAGATAAGAGGTAATTAGGTAACAAAGCGACACTGAATCCCTAGAATGGAATCAATGGGTAAATGATGACCGAAACATCAGTTTTATGGCTGTTGTAGGAGATTGCAACAGCCATTATATTATATATATATATACATATATATATTTATATTAATTCTTACTATTTGTAAATTATTCGTCTGACAAAGACGTCATCACGTCGCTGGGGTTGGCGTGAAAACGAGCGCGTTAATCGCATTAATTACGGGGCATCCCATGCTCAACGTGAGTGGGATTTGCCCAGCCCAATGCCTTACTCATCGATTGATTTTTTTTACCTTACCCAGTGAGCGATGCGGAGCTGCGGCGCCTGAGAGATGCCTTCAAGAAGTCGGCGGGCGTGGGGCGGCTCTTCCTCAGCCGGAATGCCTTCCAGCAGGATGTGCTCTGCGAGGGGGTGCCGCCGAAGATCACGGACATGCTGTACGCCGCGTGTGGTGGCACTCAGCGGGGTATTTCCTTCAAGGATCTGCTCTGCGGCCTGGTGCTAATCACGCGCGGCACCCAGGAGGAGAAGACCAAGTGAGTGGCTCGGAATAATGATGCTTCTATAAATTATCATTAAATAATTTCAAACTTTCAGATTTCTGTGGAACCTCTACTGCAACGATGCAGGAACCTATATAATAAGGTCGGAATATGTACGCAATGTGAACCTGGCTCCATTCGAGAGCGTCTCCCTGTTCGCCCAGGGTGAACGAGTCAATTTCGAGCAGTTTCAGGAATGGATTATCAAGCATCGCAATGCCACAGTTCTCTCCAACTGGCTTTTGGCCGACAACTGTGTCAGTCTCACCTCAGAGCTGGAGACGCCAACGTTTTACCAGAGTCTTGCCGGAGTGACGCATCTGGAGGAGAAGGACATTGGCGATCTGGAGAAGGAGTTTTGGCGTCTGAAGAACACATCGCAGAATGGACAAATCGATCTGCAGTTCCTTGGCCCTCTGATTAGTCCACCGATACCAAAGAACGCACTGGCGGGACTGTTCAACGCCTTCGATGAGAACCGTGACGGTCACATCGACTTTAAGGAGCTGTGCTGCGGCGTCAGTGCTGCCTGTCGTGGACCAGGTGTGGAGAGGACACGATGTAAGTAGCAAGAACCCACTCTCTGCATCATCTATCTAACTTGTTCCGTCTCTAGTTTGCTTTAAGATCTTTGATGTGGATCGAGATGGAGTTCTCAGCCACGAGGAGACACTGCAAATGATCAATGTTCTCTTGCTGGTGGCCAAGGAGAACCGTGATGCCCAGCAGTATGCGGAGCTAACCAAACAGCATGTTATCAGCGATCTGCTTGAGTTTGGACAGCGTCGCAGTCCCGACGGTGAGCCTAGCAAGCTAACCCGCGACAACGTCTCCCTCACCGCCGAGGACTTTATGCTGTGGAACGTTCAGTGTGATCTCCGGCTCATGCAGCCCCTGCTGGACCTTATCTTCGAGCTGTGCCACATCGTCTTCGGTCTCTGGCCGCAGTGTAAGCATATGGAGAATGATATTGTCCGAGGATGGCTGCGACGCGAAGAACGCAGACCTTACCGTGTCGGTCAGTTCTGGTACTTGATAACGCGTGACTGGTGGCTCAATTGGACGCAGTACACCCAACACACGGCTCATACATGCGACTACTGCAAGCGCACCGCCGCCAGTCAGCGGACCGCCGTCGACGAGGCGGTTGTCTGCGATGAGAGCTTCAACACTCACAGTCTGGAGCAGCACGACAGCTACTCGTTGGGCTCCGGCACAGGCTCAGCCACCGGCTCCGGCTCTGGATCCGCCAGCAGTGGGTTCTCTGCAGGCCGCCACTGCGGACCTGTGCGTCCAGGACCGATTGACAACAGCAACCTGATCACGGCCAATCCGTACAGAAACGTGCGCACCCTCACCGGCGAAGGCGGTCACCTCAAACGGGACACGCCTCTGGTGCAGAGCCACGACTTCGAGCTGGTGCCCAAGTCGCTTTGGAAGGCGTTAAATCGGTGGTACGGCGACAACCTGCCATTGCCGCGCCAGGTCATCCAACCACCTAACTCTGAGGTGGAACTGGAGCTGTACCCGCTGAATCTGCGCATCCTGTTGCACCAGGCGCAACCGTCCCAAATGGGCGCTGGAGGAGGAGGCGGAGGATCGGGCGCCCAGCTAGGCAGCTGGGGCTCCACAGTAAGCGGCGGCTACGGGGTCCTGGCATCCGGCGGTGGATATGCAGCAATCGCAGCCAGCAGCGTGCTGCAGCCGCCGAAGCGATATCTTGCCTACACGGCGGCTTTCAGCCGCTTGGCCACTGTGCGACAAGTCGGGGAGTTCCTATGCGAGCAGCTGCGCCTGAAAGCGGAGGATATCCGGCTGTGGCACGTGCCTCAGCTGGACAACGGTGCCATATTATTGTTGGAGGAGGATGCCATGTGCCTGAAGGAACTTCTCATCCGGGACAATGACCAGCTACTGCTGGAGATTCGCAACAAGGACCTGACCTGGCCCGAGGAACTGGGCTCGTTGGCAAGCGCCCAGAGTGGCCAGGGGACGTGTGGAACACCAGGCGATCGGCGGCGTATGACCCGCAGCTCCATTATGTCAGTGCATGCGCCAGGAGCCACGGGCCTGCACAACCTGGGCAACACCTGCTTCATGAATGCGGCTCTCCAGGTGCTGTTCAACACCCAGCCACTGGCGCAGTACTTCCAGCGAGAGATGCACCGCTTCGAGCTGAATGCGGCCAACAAGCTGGGCACCCGGGGACAGCTGGCGATGCGCTATGCTGAACTCCTCAAGGAGGTTTGGACGGCGACGACGCGTTCAGTGGCACCGCTTAAGCTGCGCTTCTGCGTTAATAAGCACGCTCCGCAGTTCGCCGGTGGCGGTCAGCACGACTCCCAGGAGCTGCTCGAGTGGCTGTTGGACGCCTTGCATGAGGATCTTAACCGCGTGATGGAGAAGCCGTACAGTGAACTAAAGGACTCCAATGGCCGGCCGGACAAGCTAGTGGCCGCCGAGGCCTGGTCACAACACCACGCTCGCAATCAGTCAATTATCATTGATTTGTTTTATGGCCAGCTCAAGTCCAAGGTTAGCTGCTTAAGCTGTGGCCACGAGTCTGTGCGCTTCGATCCCTTCAGCCTGCTCAGTTTGCCGCTGCCAGTTGAGAACTATGTGTATCTGGAAGTGTTGGGTGAGTCAATGCAGCATAAATAATTTATGATGATATATAACATTTTTGTTTGACCTTCAACAGTTATCCTGCTGGACGGCAGCGTGCCCATCAAGTACGGCTTCCGTCTCAACTCGGAGTGCAAGTATTCCCACATGAAGCATAAGCTGTCCAAGCTGTGTTCACTGCAGCCGAACCTGATGCTTGTTTGCGAGCTGTGGAACTCACAGATACGCCAGGTGTTGGCCGATGAGGAGAAATTGAGAATGCAGAGCGCCAAGGAGCTGTATGTCTACCAGTTGCCCGAGCAGAGCGTCCGAACGCGCTCCAACTCAGTGCTCAGCATGCACATCGAGCAAGGACTCAAGGATATTCAGCGTAGCTCGGGTAAGCTACAGTCTAAAGCTTGCAATAGATAAATTAATAACGTTTACATGTCCACAGCTCTCATGACAGCCCAGGACAACTCGCTGTCCTCGCTGAGCACTATTCAGACCTCCACCAGTCACCGCGCCTCGTCTCGCGTCCTTTGCAATGGCCATGCCATGGGACTGGAGGCGGTTGAGGCGGAAAACAATCAGAGCATCAGCAATACCAACCATTTCAGCGGAAACGGAAGTGGTGACAACCAAGTGCACGAGCTGCTGCCAGATGAGGCCGGAAAGGTAAGCCGGTGCTTTGGAAAGAGAGAGTGCATGCCCCACAGCCTATTCTGCTTCAAGGTATGGCTTCTAAACTATATTAACATACACGTATTTAATATCATCTAGATTTACGTCCCAGTTCTTTTGGGGCGGCCAATCGATTCTTAAATTCAGAACTTCAGATCTTATCTTGCCTAGGATAGAGCATTGATTACAGCCTAGTCGTGCTGTCTTACCTTTTCTCGCTCATTTCCCAAGTCTCAGTGAGTGAGACGAGTTGTTAATGAAAGACTGTAACGAAAGTAGCTCAACTGAAGACAGGGAGCAAGGTGCAGCTTGTCGAGCGCCGCCTAATCTAAATATATTAAATACAAATATGTTAAATGAACAGTTGCCGTCTCGTCTGCTGCGTGGTTTGTGGGCTTCCCTCTTAACTACAAAAATATAAAAAACAAAAACTACTAGCATACTCTGTATATTCTTCGTATTCGCACACTCTATTACCAAGTTGAACTTAATTATTTGTAATTTATAATATCTTTCCTTCTACTAATCATATCTAATTTGTTGCTGGCATTCTTCCCTCTATATCTATTGTAAATTTTTTGCTTAAAACAAAACCAAAACCGTTTTAAAACAATCAACATTTCAATCACCTTTCGCTATCCTTTGTTGTTATCTTTTGGTTACCGAGCTGGAAGCTTGTGAATTATAATTTACACCTTGTGTAGCTTCTAGTCATAGTTCTATTAGACCCTTGCAGTCCCCCTATCCTTAATAGGAGTGATTATTCATGTATTTGACATGATTTTTTTCCTTAGTAAATAGAATTGCTGAATTGCTTTAGATCCTGTTGATGGGAAATTGTTGTTATTGTATATATTTGTTGCAATAGTTTATTAATAGAAAGTTCATGAACACAATTTGTTTAAATTGATATATTTTGGGGTTAATTCATTCTTAATCGGTGCTGTAGGGAACTCTTATATTGCGAAATTTAATAAACTTTTAACGATTTTATATAATGCTTGAGGTTCTTGTATTAAAATATTATAGAATGTTAAGATTTCTTTGTAAAATGTAAATACGTTCAATTAATTTAATCATCTCCATCGGTGTTGCTCAAAAATTCTTTAAAAATAACCATGTTAAACGCTTAAAAATAAAACGGAAGAAAACTAACTTCGGCACGCCGAAGTTTATATACCCTTGCAGTTTGCCATCAAATATATTCGATATTTCACAATGTTTTTTTCAACGAAAATTTGTTCCGCAAATTAAAATTTTCAAAAACGCATAACTTAGCCAAAAAAAAAAGAATTAATTTTAAATCGGAAAGCGTTCCTGTGTTAGTTTTTATTGGGTTATAAAATCTGCATAATCAATTATAATTTTAAATAATTAAAAAAATGTATTTTGATCGGACATGGCTAGATGGACTCGGCTGTTTATCCTGACCAAGAATATATATAATTTATAGGATCGGAAATGACTCCTTCATAGCGTAAGAATGTATTGACTAAAATTATAATACCCTGCAAGGGTATAAAAAATAAATCTTTTCTTAACAAGTTTTCAAAGCTATATTTAATTATGTGTCACAATTTCCACCGGCACTTCACGAATTAACCCAAAAATAAATAAATAAATAAATAAAGTTTTATATTCTAAACACCTGCAATAAACAATTTGTACAAATTAAATGTAGAATTTGGAAGTTGAGCGTTTATCCAATAGAATTATAGATAATCAGGACTGTCACGGAACTTGCTTATAATATTAAATTAAATAAGTTAATTGTAACGTTATTTTAAATGCATTTTAAATCAAAATAAACCCACAGCAATTTCCGTGGCATCCCCGAATGGTAGATTGTACATTTTACAAGTTGATTGATGACCCCTGATTAATTTAGTTTTTGCTCCAAAGCTTTAATACACTCATCCATACACACGATACACCTCCATACACCTCACCGACCCTGCCAAATTAACCCCGAACTTATCCTAATCAATACTAATGCGAACTCTTGGTGCAGGAGTCGTTCATCCTAAGCTCCAGTCCGGAGAACAATTTCATGCACGGCAACACGGCCGCCCAGCAGAAGCGAGTGTCCGCCGCCAAGCTGCTGCACACGGAGAGCAACACCAGCTCCATTTCCTACACGAATCACTCCGGCGAGAATTCCATGGAGAGCTCGCTGACGGAGCCCATTCCGATGGCAGTTGATCTGGCGCCGGTAAGCAGCCGGCACGGTAGTGGCAGCGATGATGGCTCCTATCGGACGTCACCCAACGATTCCAGTGGCCTGAGCACGACGGCGCACACGCTGGGAGCCAGTCTCGATGCTGATGTAGACGAGCAGGCGGAGGAGGGCAACGAGGAGGAGCCGGATCAACCGGATCAGATAACCACCTCACAGCCGGAAACCAGCAGCGGTGTCTACTCACGTCGCTCCTCGCAGCCCCACAAGCCGGGCAAGTATCTGGTAGCCGTGCATCGTAAGATCACCCGGCACGACAGCTACTTCCTTTCCTACCACAAGACGCGACCCAGCCTGTTTGGTGTGCCGCTGCTCATCCCTAACAATGAGGGAGGCACCCATAAGGATTTATACTGCGCCGTTTGGCTGCAGGTAAGCCGGTTGCTTAGTCCGCTGCCCGCCACCACCGAGCAGGCAAATCATGCCGCCGATTGGTAAGTACAGCCAATCATAGGGTATATTAAATCGTTTAACAAATTTCCCTTTTTTGCAGCGATGACAGCCTTGGCTACGACTTTCCCTTCACGCTCCGTGCGGTCAAGGCGGACGGACTCACCTGTGCCATCTGCCCGTGGTCGAGCTTCTGCCGCGGCTGTGAGATACGCTGCAATAATGACTACGTGCTTCAGGGGGCCCTGCCGCCCATCAGCAATGCCGGATCCAGTGAGTACCGAACCCAAAACAGAGTTCTTCGAGTCCTTTTTGCAAACTATAGACTTTAGCAGACAGTGGCAACTTGTTTTATTAAATAAACGTTTTATTTTATAGGCAATTCAACGACACCGAAGATGAACGCTAAATTTCCATCGCTACCAAATCTGGAGACGAAGCGTACGACGCCGGAGTACACCGCATCGTTGTCGTACACCCCGACAACAAAATATTTTGAAGACTTTACCATTGCCATCGATTGGGATCCAACCGCCTTGCATTTACGCTATCAGAGCACCTTGGAGCGGGTAAGTACGTCATGATTCGAGGGCATTCTGAAGTATTGACCTTCTCCCTTTCCAGCTGTGGGTGGATCACGAGACCATTGCCATAAGTCGGCGGGAACAGGTGGAGCCCGTGGACCTGAATCACTGCCTGCGTGCCTTCACCTCGGAGGAGCAGCTGGAGCAGTGGTATCACTGCAGTCACTGCAAGGGCAAGAAGCCGGCCACAAAGAAGCTGCAGATCTGGAAATTGCCACCGATCTTGGTGAGTCTCTTGAAAGTCCCTTAGCTCACTAAAATCACATTAACCAACATTATTTGGATAGATTGTTCACTTGAAGCGCTTTAATTGCGTCAACGGCAAGTGGGTGAAGTCGCAGAAAGTGGTCCACTTCCCATTCGACGACTTTGATCCAACGCCATATCTGGCCTCCGTGCCCCAGGAGACAATATTGCGGCACAAGGAGCTACTGGAACTAAAAACGGACGAAGGAGACGTAACGACGCAGACACTGGCGAGCAATGAAGTTGTCAGCGAACTAGACGAAATCGATGCAGCCACCAAGGAGGAGGTGGAACCACAGGCCAAGCCAGTATCTGCCGGGAATAATATCCTGCGACAGAGTAAAACGATCAATGCGGCTCGGCGACGACAACGCCTCATCTCAACGAGTCTCACGAAAACGCCCATAGTGGACGGCGAATTCGAGGACTATCACCAGCATCGACTCAAGCCGGAGGTGGATGAGTTCGATCCCAAGTACAGACTCTATGCCGTGGTGGTGAGTATCCAAAATGCTTTTTTATCTCCAAGCAGGCAATATTCCCACCCATTCTTTGCTTGCAGTCTCATTCGGGTATGCTGAATGGTGGCCACTACATTTCCTATGCAGCGAATGCAACTGGTTCCTGGTATTGCTACAACGACAGCTCCTGCCGAGAAATATCACAGAAACCGCCGGTTATTGATCCCAGTGCCGCCTATCTCCTATTTTACGAGCGCAAGGGACTTGACTACGAACCGTATTTACCCAACATCGAGGGCCGGGCGCTGCCCAATGCCGCCGCCAGCATGCAGCTTGAGGTGGACGAAACCGAGGGCGAGCTAAAGAAGCTGTGCTCAATTTCCTAACTGATGATGATATCCGTGTACCGATCATCATCCTGGCTATGAAGGACTCTATTATATATTATTCCCTCTTTCCTCCTAAGGATATGTTCTAAAGTTTTGTGCTTTTGTTTCGCCTAATGTGTGTGCGTTTTGTTATTTACTATTTTAAGCTCAGTTTGAAACTATTTGCTGCTATTAATTATTTAGTTTCTTAATTATTGTAGTATTAAGCCTTAATTCTACCTTCTTTGCCAGAGCATGTACCATAATATTCAAGTCCAGCTTGTAAATACTTTCTACGTTTAATTGGTTCCCTTTTTGTAGTTGTTTCCCTCTTGTTTGGCCATTGTTTTTGTTGTATATAATTGTATAATTTACAAATGTGCGTAATTGTATTAGGCGCTTCCGAAGTGCCACAGCTATTCCATTTAATTTGTAGTTTGTAATTGGTAATTGTTTTTTTGTTCGTTGTATGTAAATAGTGGCGTGCGAAATGTTGTCGTAGACAGTTTTTGATATTAATTACACGGATCAGCAATATATATATCAAGACGTTGCACGAATTTCATCGCAGACTCATAACGTATTTACATTATTATCGATTGGCTTTGGTGTGAAGCGAAATAAGTATTGCAGATATGTCTACTGATTATGTATTTGATATTTACAAATTATATATATATATATACACCCCACAGATATATATACAGAACTTGACTAATTTATATTAATATACATACATGGAACATGATGATATATTCGAAACGAAACGAAAAGCTATGAATAAAACGCAACTTTTATCGCTTAAACCAAATGGAAATCAAATTTTGTGGTTTCCTTTGTGGTTAATTAATTTTTAAAGTTTTACCAGGCCACTCCCATTAAAGTAACAACTATCGCAGGTTGTTCATTGCAATGGAATTCAATACATTTATATATTGTATCTAGATTATGTTGTAATCACATAGTAAGTAATGTAAGTAAATTAGAATAATTATTTAAACTTGTCGTATGTGTGAATTGGCCGCGAGATCCGCCCCGGGAGCATATCAGTGTCGTAACTGGAAGCCAGGCCAACATCCAACTCCTACCGCCATTCCGCCAAGTGTCAGAACATGTAGAATTTTCATTATTTGTGTGAACGCGACCATATATATATTTATATATATGGGTATCGAGATTTCATTGCAAATGATTATCATAAATATATATGTACGTGGGTGTGTGTGTGTGTGTGTGTTGAAATTTAAATTCTTAGCTCAAGAGTAAAGTATATATTTGCATGGAATACGAATACGAATGCGCTTAACGTAGATATTATTATTGAGGAGAGTTGCCTGCTGCCTAGGCGCCGGAATTATTCGATAGCTGACCGGGCACCGAGAACTGAGGCCGGAAATTGGCGAAATTGCCAGCCGGTCCACCAGTGAATGCTGGCAATGTTGTGCCCTGGAAGCCAGCCGGGAATTGCGCCATTAATTGAGCTGCAAAAGAAAAAGTAGTATTATTTATTTGGTAAACAAGAGAGCCTAACAAAGAAGCTAGAGGAATATGATTAGAAACCCACCTGCATTGGAGGCATTGCCGGCAGTGGCTGCCAATCGGGAGAGGATAGAACGCTCGGACATCTGCAGGCGCTGGGCAACGGGTGGAATTCGTGCCAATGTGGCCGGCAGACGGGATACATCGCTCTTCATGTCGGAGAGCAGCTCTTCCAGCTGGTTGAGCACCTTGTGCAGCACCGCATTCGCGGGCTTGTTGCCTGCCAGCGACTCCTTGCTGAGATGCTGATGGGATTCGGCCAGGCATTCGACCTCGGCAAAGCGGGCGTTGAGCGACATTGCCGGATGGCTGGGATCCTGAGCGAGATTTAGGTAGGCGGCACGCCTCAACTGCTCCTCAATGACAAGAGCCTGCTCCAGCAGCTTGAAACGGCGGGCGAGGAATTTGTTCTTGATCTCCAGAAAGTTGCCCTTGCCCACGTCCATCTTGAAGGGTTCGTTGATTATCGCAAAGCGAATATCGTTCTGGATGTCCTGCCAGCGCCCATAGCCATGGGTAACGATGCCGGCCAGCAGCCAGTAGTCGTGGCGACGATGCCAGATCTCGTACTCCCTGCCGGGAACCGCTGCCTTCTCCTCGTTGAGCCACAGGGTGTGGAGCTCGGTGAAGCCGCCATCAGCGATGTTGAACATGAACTTGCGCTTTAGAACCTCCAAGCTATCCTCCACACCGCCCTTGCCAGTGGCAGAGGCTCCAGCTCCAGTAGCCGCGGCTGCAGCAGCAGCGGCTGCCTTGTGATCCTTGGGCGAACTGGCGCTGGGCTTCTCTAGCTCACCATCCTCTTTCACAATCATCACATCGTCGTCGTCATCGTCAATCACTGTAGTTGTCTCTGCGATTGGCTTCTTGTCCTCGAGCTTTTCCTTTTCCTTCTCCTTTTCTTTCTCCTTCTCCTTGTCCTTCTCCTTGATCTCCTCCTCTTCGGTCTTGGGCTCTTCCTTGAGCTCAGGGTCCTTGGCCTCTTCCTTGGGCTCTGTCTTGGTCAGCTCGGTTTTGACTTCGGCTGCCTCGCTGGCTGGTTTTGTGTCACCGGAGGAGGAACCTTCTTCTACGGATTGCTCCACCTTGACCTCTGTGGGCTTTTTGTCGCCGCTTTCAGCCTCTTGCTCCTGCTTCACCTCGCTGCTCTTCTCCGGTGAGGCCTTCTCCTTTTCCTTTTCTTTCTCCTTCTCAGAGTCCTTATCCTTTTCCTTGTCGTCGCCCTTCTCCGATGCTGGCGCTGGACTGGGTGCAGCACTGGTGGCGGGAGTGGCGCTGTTGCTCGTGGTGGCGCTCTTGTCCACATCAACCTTGACGACACCGGCTGGTGGGGCCTCTAGAGCTGTCGCCGCATCCTGCTGCTTCAGGGCGGATCGAACCGGTTCACAAGGCTTCAGGATCAACTCCGGCATGCTGTAGTAACCGTTGATGTGCTCGAATTCCTGCACCTTCTTGCGAATAAGCGACATCACTCCGATCCGGGTGAGCACGTGCTGGCGGGAGAGTCCTTCACGGGGCACGCCGTCGGCAAAGGTCTCGGCATTGTCTGCTCCAGGTTCGCACAGATGCCGCATGAACAGCGAAACATAGGCCTTGAAGTTGCGCTCGGACTTGCCGCGCAGATCTCTCACCAGCCACTGCGAATTGAAGGCGTCCTGGGGGGGCATTCCATAGCGCATGATGGCATTGAGGAAGCTCTTCCGCTGGCGGGCATTGAAGCCCAATACCTCGATGTTGCCGCCGACGCGAGCCAGTAGCGGAGGCAGCGGACGGTCATCCCGACGCTCCAAACGTCGCTTGGCCTTCCTTTCACCTCCGCCGTTCTGGTCATCGAAGTCATCATCTCCGCCATCCTCATCGGAGCCAGCCGAGTACTCCGAATTGTACTCGCTGCCGTTGTCCTGCCAGTTGGAATCGTCCCGCGTGGTGTCAGCAGCCACAACGCCACCGTCCGTGTAGTTGACTTGCTTGCGGACACGCTTGCCCTTGCCCAGGCTGCGACCCACGTCCTCCTGGTGCTGCTCGTAGTGGTGGCGCAGCAGCTTAACCCAGTATGCGGGATCAGAGTTCTCTGCATCCTGTTTGATGATCTCGGTCTCCTCCTCCTCCTCCTCTTCCTTCGTGGCGTACGAGGCCACCTTGAACGATGAGAGATACTCGTTGGCCCAGGACTCCTTCTCCTCGATGCCTCGATTGGTACGATCTAGTAGTTCGGCCACCGCCTTGTCGTCGTAATGGATGGCCTCCTCCTTGTCGTCCTCCTTGAACAGATCCTCGGTACCGAAGCGCAGAATATCGTCCAGCTCCTGTTTGGTGAAATTGGCTCCCTTGCCGCCCATTCCGGGTCGAACCACCAAATGTGTGAGCATCATCTTGCGCTTAGCCACCTGCGTCACGCGCTCTTCGACCGAGTTTCGGGTGACGAAGCGATAGATCATCACCTTGTTGGCCTGTCCGATACGATGGGCACGGGAGAAGGCCTGGATATCGTTGTGGGGATTCCAATCCGAATCGTAGATGATGACAGTGTCAGCCGTGGCCAGATTGATGCCCAGACCGCCGGCTCGTGTACTCAGCAAAAAGACAAACTGCTGTGCTCCGGGTGCATTGAAGCGATCGATTGCCTCCTGGCGCACGGTACCCGTGATGCCACCATCAATTCGCTCGTACTTGTACTGCTCGCCCTCGAGGAAGTCCTCCAGAATGTCCAGCATTTTCGTCATCTGCGAGAAGATGAGCACACGATGGTTCTGTGACTTGAGCAGTTTCAGCATCTTGGAAAGCAGCACCAGCTTGCCGGCAGCCTTGGTCAGCGAGTTGACCTCATAAAGACCACCAGCAGAGGTGGGCGCCTCCTCGGCGGCAGATGGGAAGAGATACGGATGGTTACAGCACTTCTTCAGGTCCATCATGATGTTGATCAGGGAACAGGAGCCTCCGCCGCTCTTCGAGTTCAGTGCCTCGTAGTTCTTGGTCAAGATAAACTTGTAGAACTTCTTCTGCATGGCCGACAGCTCTACACGCACAATAAACTCCGATTTCGAGGGCATGTTCTTCAGCACATCGGTCTTCAAGCGACGCAGCATGTGCGGCCCAAGCATCTCGTGCAGGCGCTTCACCTGCTCCTCCTTGGACACATCCGCGAACTCGCCTTGGAAGGCTTGCAAATCGTTGAACTTGTCCCGGCTCAAGAAGTTAAGCAGATGGAACAGCTCTTCGAGGTTGTTCTGCAGAGGCGTTCCCGTGAGCAGCAGCTTGTAGGCAATGGAGTAGCTGTTGAGGATGCGGAAGAACTTGCTCTGGTTGCTCTTCAGCCGATGGGCCTCGTCCACCACCAGCACCGCCCAATCGATGCTGCCCAGACAAGCGGCGTCCATTGAGATCAGCTCGTAGCTGGTTAGCAGCACGTTGAACTTATATTGCGTTGTGCGCAGGCGTGACACCTTGCTTCCACGGATAGCGCCTTCCTCGAAGCTCAGCTCGTTCTCCCGAATGACCGCTCGCGAGTCCTTGTCGCCGATATATGTGATGCAGTAAAAGTCCGGTGCCCAGAGCTCGAACTCACGCTCCCAGTTGACCAATGTGGACAGCGGCACGGCCACGAGGAAGGGTCCGCGGCAGTGGCCCTCCTTGTACAGGGAGTACAGGAAGGTCACCGTCTGAATGGTCTTGCCCAGACCCATCTCGTCGGCCAGGATGGTGTCGATGCCCTGGCCCCAGCTGTAGCGCAACCAGTTGATGCCTTCGATCTGGTAGGGATGCAGCTGCATGCCCGTTCCCTCCAGGAATGCCGGCTGGCCCTCGTACTTCTTCTTCAGGTCCGTGGTGGGCTTCTCCGGCGGCGGCGTGTAGTGCTTAACCGGTCGATCATCATCGTCCTCAACCTTGAGCTTCGATTTGCGCCCCTTCTTGCTCTTCTTGCTGCTGGAGCGTGTGTTCTCCGACGTGCAAACGGCCCGCAGGTCCTGATAGTAATCAATGGCTTGTCGTAGACCCTGGATATCGTCGCCTTCCTCTTCCCACGTGGATTTATCGTACGGCAATTCGCGCCACTTCACCAGATACATGGTGCTGCCATCCCGCGCTGTGCGATGATTAATGACCCGCTGCACAATAAGCCACTCGGGCTTGACGCCGTTCTTGTAGAAGCGTTCCTCCAGCTGTTCGGAGTCATCCTCATCGGCCTTCATGCCCACCTTGTCCTTGTGCCGCTGGATGCGTTTGAAACGAGTGTCTGCCTCGTCCAGCGACTCCTCGAACTTGGGCGGCTCCTCCATGTCGTACTTGCGCTGGAACGAGCGGATCATCAGCGGATGATGGACGTCCAGTTGCACCTCCGGCACCCATTCACAGTGCCAGTAGGACATGTTGTGCCACTTGATGAAGTACTCGCGAACACGGGAGTTGCCGCTGCTCTTCGATCCCTTGGACGTGGAGGGCCCATCGTCACCGGCACGCACTGCCCAGCGCCAAGTGATGATCTTTTCTGCCTTGCCAGTGAGCGGCGGGCAACTGCAGCGCGGACAGCGCCAGTCGCCATCGGGTATGGTATCCAGCGGCGGATTCAAGCAGAAAGTGTGATAGGCCGAGGGACAGGAATCGCAGCAGAGCAGCTCGCCACCATCCTTGCACACGCGACAAAACTCCTGGTGCTCATCATCGTCCTCCTCCTCGGCAGCACCACCGTCAGCCTCACAGTGGGGACACGACCACTTTCCCTCCGGCGGCTCATCCAGCTCCGGTTCCAGGCAGACCAAATGGTAGGCCCGCGGGCACGTATCGCAGAGGATAATCTCGCCACCCTGCTGACACACTTCGCAGTAGTCCTGGTGCTCGTGTTCGCCATCCTCACCCTCGGGAAAGTTCTTTGTCTTCTTCAACTTGTTCTTCTTCTTGAACTTGTTGCCAATCTTAGTCTTGGCCTTCTTGCGGACCACAGGAGCCCCGGATCCATCATCCTGGGCGGCAGCGGGATTTGCCGAGTTGTCTGCCTTCGAGGAAGACCCCGACGGTGCCGCCGCTTCCTTCTCGTCAGCACTATCATCGGACTTTTGGAGCATGCGCTCAAACTCCAGATCCGAGTCACGTTCAGAGGCACCGCTGGCATCCTGCTCGTCGTCAGAGCTGTCGCGCTTGCGTTTGCCCAGCTTGATCTTTAACGTGGGCACCTTGCCAGAGGGTCGGCGGCCCTTCTTGCCTCGCCCGCTTCGCTTGCGACGTGGCTTCTTCAACTCTTCCTCCTCCTCCTCTTCCTCCTCTTCGGCTGCCTCCTCGTAGATATCGTCGGGCTTCTCATTACGCGAGGAGCGTGAGGATCTTGGCTCATCGCCCGCCTCATCACCGGCCACACTGCGCGCCTGTCCACCTGAGTTGCCGGAACCGGCGGCAGCAGTGCTGCCCTCCTGCTGAATGTGGGGATTGCTCTCGCAGAACTCACGCCATTTGGCCGCCACCAGCATCATCAGCTTGGGCGCAGCAATCTTGGGGTTCTCCTTATGCAGAATGGGACGTACGTGCTGCATGAAAGCCTTGTAGGTGGTCAGGCTCTGAAGCTCCTCCTCACTGTACTCGATGTCGACGTCGCACACACTGAATGCGGAACACACGTCCTCCACAGATGGCATGCCTGCAAAAAGAAGACAATAAATGGTGAGTAAAGTATTTAAAATCATAGCTCGTGAGGATCTTACCAGATGAGGCCGATGATTCCTTCTCCTTGGCCGCCTGCTTCTCCTCCTTGCGCTTACGACCACGCTTCGAGGTACTGGGATATTCAACCTCCTCATCGTGCTGCTGCTGGACAAAGTCGCTATCCTCCTCGCTCTCGTTCTTCTTGCGCTTCTTCTTCTTGCGACCCTTCTCCTCGCCCTTCCTGGTCTTGCGCTTCTTACCCTTTTTCTTCTTGCGATTGTCTTCGGGATCGTAATCGTCATCCTCATCATTCTAATCAGAAATAAAATGGCATAACGATAAAATTTTCAGTTGGAGTCAAATGATATCACTTACGTTCGGCTTTAGAGGAGCATCAGAATCGTTGGAGAGTTCCGCCACCTGAGCATTGTCCTCCTGCGCCTCTTCTTCTTCTAGACAAGGTAAAAGTTAAGATATATTTTCTTATTAGAGTTCTGTGTGATCTTCAAAAGGTGATCAGTGTCTGCAGACACGATCGTTGTTTTACCGTGGGTCATGTTCAAGGCGAATTAGATTCAGGTTCAGATTACGGTTGAATGCAACAATAGATATGTCAAAACTGTATCGATATAAGTAGATACTTTAACGTTGGGATTAATCGACGTTCTGTTTTATAAAATGGATAATCGAAAGACAAAACTAAAAAAGGAAACTAGCTTGCAATTGTATTATAGCAACGAATCCGGAAATCGATCAAAACTGAGCTAAAAATATTTGAATTATAGGAACGAATCGGAAATCGATCATAACTAAGCTTAAAATATTTGAATGTTTTAAATCGATATAGAAATAGATAGAACTTTTAAGGTCATTTTTTCGAAATATTAAATATGAAAAGCCTAATAACTAAGCCATAAAGACTAACCCCTTTTGAAATTGTGAAAAAAAGGACTAAATTTTGTTAAACGGACATGGCTAGATCCATTCGGCTGTTGATGCTGCCCGAAACTATTTCCCGCACTGAATTTCAAACTTCTCACTTTAATAGAATAAACTACAAAGTATAATTAATAAATGCTTTTCTTTTTTTTCGATTCAATATTTTATTTGATTCTATTTTTTATTTTTTTTTTCTGGTTTTGATGCTTTTTTTTGTCAAGTTTTCTTTCTTTCTTCTCTTGTTTGTTGTTTGTTTGTGGTCTTAATAATTACTAGTATATAACAATATCTCGTTTTTTTGTAAGATTTTTCATTCTGCTGGTCTTGTCAGCGGTTTTGCTCTTAGATTTACAATAATAATAATAATAATATTTTTCTCATGTCTCTTGATCTGGTTTCTACTCCTTCGGTTCCATCGGCTTACACACAATCGTCGTTAATCATTAATCGTTAATAAGTTCCTTCTCAATTGCTGTTGGGTGTGTGTGTTGTTAGTTCATGTGTTGCTGTGTGTGTGTTGTTGTTGTGGGCGTGGGCGTGGCATTTATGTATTTATAAAACTAGTAAGTTTTCGTTTGTTGCTTATCAAATGTCAATGTTGTATATAATATATACATATATATATATATTTATATGGTGTATATATTTAGTTTTCTTGTATATAAATTGTATATGATTTTGTTTTCTTGATTTTGTAATTGCTACGAATCGATTTTAAACGCTTGATTTTTTGCAACTTGATCTCATCATTGTTTCATTTGATTTTCCCATTCGTTTGTTTGTTTCTTCCTTTGTTTTTTATTTCTTCCCTCCCGCGACTATACTTAAATATGGTATATAAAAAATATTGCAACGAAATAGCTAAAATTTCATATGGTTCTTCTCTTCAATTTCGTGTTACGTTTCTTTTATATCCTTTGTCTCAATGTTTTCTTTTTTTTGTCTTGTTTGTTTTCCTATCATGATTTCTTTTGGACACTAGAGTTGTTTCAGCAAATTATTTGATACATTTTAAGCGACTGACTTCGTTACTATCCCTACGTCTTACTGCCTGCTTTGTTGTTTTGTTTTTCGTTACTATTTTACTTAAGGAAGCTTAGAGTTGTTCTAAAAACTATAAAGCAAACAACTCAAGGGGTCGCAGTATATATAGTATAGCTGTGATCATACAACCATTAAGTATATCATTTCTATTAGTCCTCTCATATATAGTTTTTGAGCAATAATAACGTGTGTCTGAAGCCGCGAAATAAAACACATAAAATATGTTTCCGTTTCTAAAAAGTCTCTATAATGTTTACAAACTGATTGAAATGGTACAAAAAAAAAACCAACAAACGCTCCGAAAGCCAAACTAAAATCGGTGTTAAGAACACAAATATATATATATAATATATATATATATATAACAAATTAACTATATAGTTATCTATATAAAACAAAAGAAATTTTTTCACTACACAAGCCGTTTTTTAAAAAGTTCAGTCTATTGTTTAGAGGCACGCCCGCATGCAACACCACTAAATTGAAGTATATATAATTTACACACATCGGATCCGCTTTGCACATTTCAATGGATAGGTTAATTTAGGCTTAAAGGAGTACAGAACCAAGCTTCCTTAATCTGTAGTTTAAATTTGTCGAATCGATAAACGGACATTATGGCTTTCGACTTGAATTTGAAGCAAATGCTAGAGTGCATACGAAAATTTATATAGATTGTTTTAAATTTAACAAAAGACTGGCCCAGTATAACCTAAAGAACCCTTTTACCCTTCCCTCCATGTGCACTTCGATTCTCTCATTCAGTTTTCTGCGGTGCTATCATCTTTATCTCTATCTGTCGTGTCAGTTTCGTCGGTTACGGAATTTAATTGTGGTCATCGTAGGCCTAGGCAAACATTGGCTCAATATCAGTTAACTCTAATCGCAGCCGCAGCCCAGTCCCGATCCTAATCCCAAATCCCGACACTGTACAGATTCTGAGGGTTAAGAACACAGGATATATAGGATCTGGGCCTGCTTGCCCGCTATATCTCATTCTCTCTCGATATCGATCTCTTCTTTCTCTATACACACAAATCTAAAACAAAAGCTATGCCCCGAAAATGCAAAAAAAATATATATGTTCGATGAGTGTGTTGTGGGTGTAGTATGGTGTGTGTGTTTCTGTTAGTGAGTAGTGTGGTTTGCCGTTGTTTGTAACAAAAAATCAAGAATACAAATAAGAAGAGTCTAGATTAAAAACGAAAAACGTACAGGCTATATTTAAAAGTTGATAATAATAATATAATAATAGTAATAATAATTATTACACGCACAAAACGCAAGGAAAACATTGTGTTTTTTGCCCTCATTTAGTTACTTATTTAAGCTGCTCAATATATATGTATATATATATATATGCTCAACAGAAAAATTAAGTCTACAACTCGTGTATAGTTTGCTTTTGCTTTTGCTTTTGCCTCCATCCTTGTCAACTTCCTCCGTTTCCTCCTCATGTGTATATAGTTCATCGATCATACACTTATTCTTGTAGTTTCATTTAAATTTAAAAAATTTAGGCAAAAGTTGTAATTTTTGTTTAGATTTTTTGTTTGTTTTGTTTTTGTTAACATAGTTTCAACATTTTTTTTGATGGTTTTTTGTTGTTGCTGTTGTAGAACATTTTCTTTTAGAACGTTTTTGTTGGTGTTTTTCCGTTTTGTTGTATTTTTTTGTGTTGTTTTTCGTCATTTTTACTATATTAGTTTGTAGTTGTAATAGTTTCTTCCATGTTTTTTTTCCTTTTTGTTTTTTTATTTGCCTTTTTACATTGCGGTGTATCAGTGTTTCTTAGAGCTGCAAAAGAATAAAAGTTTTCGATGCTTCGATGTTCCTCCAGCGTCGATGCTTTTTCCAGCTCTAAAGTGTATTTATATATGAGTGTCATCGGGTCATCGAAGCAGTTCCAGCAGGATCAATAGCGGCGGGCCTGATCGTCATCTGTATTGGAGTCGTCGCAGTCCTCGTCGTCATCATCGTCATTGGAATCCGAGCTGTCCGAGCTGTCATCCGAGTCGCTATCATGCTGCTGCTGCTGCTGCGGATGATGCTGCTGCTGGGGATGATGATGACGTTGCTGCTCTTGATGCTGACGCTGCTTCTGCTGTTCTATCGTCTCTGCCGCATGGTGTTGCCTTCGCTGCTGATCTGCCAGCCTCTCGGCCGCCTCGTCCACAGCTGGATTCGGGACTTCCGCCGCTGCCGTTGTTGCCGCCACATTAGTAGTGGCTGCACTCATTAAAGTCTTGTCATAGTCCGTCACCAGCTGCTTGATGTGAGCCAGCTTGGCATGCAGATAGTCGAACCTTTGCTTGTCCTCGCACACGGTGCGATCGTTCTTGATCCTTTCATATTCGCAGACTATTTGGTGCTTGATGTGATCGTAGTCACCATAGCCGGAATCACTGCGTCGGGCACTCTCCAAGCGCTCGGACAAGTCCTGGAACCGAATGCGTACATCCTCAACGCGGGTCAACAGCTTGCGGTACTCATCGTAGTCGCTCTCGAACTCAGTCTTGTACCGCCGACGCCCCTCGACCGACTGGATGGGCACGAACTGGCTAAAGTCGTAGCGGGGTATGGATGATGCATCCGCCTCCGCCGTGGCATGCGCGTAAGCATGTGCGGCAGCTGCCAGTTGTTGCGTGGGCGATGGATGCTGCTTGGCCTGCTGGGGGTAATGGTGCTGCTGAGGTGCCAGATGTTGCGCCTGTTGCTGCTGCTGTTGATGTACTTGTGGTTGCTGCTGCTGCTGCTGCTGTTGCTGTTGCTGGAGGGAGGATCTCGAATTGGAGGACGAAGAGGCTGAGGAAGAGGGTGGTGGCACTTGCTGATAGCTCGAGTTTGAGGAACTGGAACCCCTCTGACGCTGACCACTAGTACCACCACTGCTACTACTCGTCCGCTTCTTGCTGTTGGAGGCAGCATGTTGCTGCATGTTGTTACCATTGTTGTAGGACGAACTGTAGTCGCTCTGCTGGGGTGGCATTCGCTGCTTGCTGGATCCAGATGTGGAGGCAGCGGGCACAAAGCTAGCCGCCAGCTTGGGTGGCGTCGTCGCAGAAGATGAGGCTGAGGAAGATGATGACTTGTTACTGCTGCGGCTCCCCGACATCGTTGTGGCCGTTGCCCGCTGCTGCCTTTCCTGTTGCGTTTCATAGCCACTGGAGCTGCTCGAATTGCTGCCCGTGGAATTGCGCTTGTCCTTGCTTCCTCCAACCCCATTGCTGGCCGCGCCACCGTTGCCAATTGAGGAGCTACCCCGCCGGCTACTACTGCTGCTCCTCGGATGAATATGTTGTTGTTGTTGGTGCTGCTGCTGCTGGTCCATTGATGATTGATGCTGCGTTGCTGCTGCTGCTGCCGTCGAGCTCATAAACTCCTCCATGTTGTCCAGCACATTGTAGCTAAGATCACTGGTGCTGTGATCATCCAGCGGGCCAGGCTGGCGCTGCGGCGGCGTATACCGATTTCGGCTGGAGTTCATCGAGGACCCCAACATCGATACGGAGGCTGAGGAGGACGAGTACGAGGTGCCCGAGGGTGGAGTGTCCTTCTTATAGTGACTGATGCGCTGCTTCTTGGGCTGTACAGTGCTGAACATGGTCTCGTCGTACTCGAGGCTGGTGCGCTTCATGCTGCCTCCGGCGCCTCCAGGTCCGGGTCCACCTGCACCGCCACCGCTGTTCGAGGGCGGCGGCGGACTGCCCGTGTGCGTCGATGTGGGACTCTGGCCAGACGTCGAGCTACCCGCGTCCGAGCTCATCGGAGGCGTCAGATTCTGGGGCTTGCGACGCTTCAATTGCTGCAGCTCCTGCTCGCTAAAGAACTGCCAGTTCTCGTCCACATCGTTCCACATCTGGCGACGCAGATTGTACGTGTTGTGCGACATGGTGCTGATGTCCATGAGTATGTTGGTAATCTGGTTGCGCTCCCGATCCCGGATGCCCTCATTCTTCAGTCGGGCAAACAGCTCTGGCTTCTTGAACGCCTTAAGGGCTAGCAAATGAATTAGACGCTCGCGTATGTTGCGTCTGGACACATCCAACATCTTGTTGCCGCCCGAAGACTTGTTGTTGGCACTCCTGGAGGACGAGGACGAGGTGAGACCTCCTTGCTGCATTTTGCTGCGTCCATTCGCCGAGGAAGAGGAGTTGTTAATGGCTGATGCTGAGGCTCCCGCCGACGCTGGCATTGCATCCCTCGGCGAGCTGCCGCTCATATTGTAGCCGTGAGAGATGCCATTGGCAAACGTGGAGGCCAGCGAGGTAGCGGCTCCACCACCACCACTGCTGCTGTTGTTGCCGCTGTGGTAGCGACCGTTGACTGTGCCGCTGGCGCCCAGCGTGCTGGGATTGGGCGAACGTGAGGCATATGCGGCGGTTGAGGAGCTGGAGGAGCCGCCGCTGCCTCCCAAACCTACGCCTAGGCCATTAAATGGCGATGAACCTAACTTACGACTATGGTTGTTGTTGCTATTAAAACTATTGCTGCTGCTGCTGTTGTTCCCACTGTTGTTGCTGTTGCTGTGATGGTGAAATGCCGTCGTCGTCGTCGTCGTCGAACCAGAATTGGAGTTTGAGGAGGAGAAGGCTGAAGCTACGGCTGAGGCGGAGAAGGCAGAGGCGGAGGCGGAGGAGGATGACACTGAGGACGCCGGCTTCTTCACCTTACGCCCAATATCAGACTGATTTGGCTTAATCTCCCGTATGCACTTGCTCTTCTCCGTCTCCTCGGCTTTGGCCATTTTTGTGCGTGTCGTGTCATAGACATCGTCGTTCGCATGAATCCGCATTCGCAGGGTGACGGCACCGAGGACTCCCAAGTTCTGTTGCTGCTGCTGGACGCATTCCAGCGTTCCCTCCATATTGTTGATGGTGAAGCCAAATTTTCGTCCACCGCCGCCGCCGCCGCTGTCATTGCCATTAGCATTGCCATTAGGATCCGTCGCTGCCGGACGCGACGGGAAGTGAATGAAGCCGTCGTTGCCAACAAACTGGATCTTGGCCCTTTGGTTGGGCTGCAAACGCTTGGCATTGTCATCGCGCTGATACTCCTCGATCGCACGGAAGGCGGAATCGGTGAGCTTGACAATGATGTACTCCTTGCTATCATCGTTGTTGTAGCGGTGGCTCTGGGACATTCCATAGTTGCCGGTCGATAAAACATTGGGCGGCAGGCATTTCGTTGACGCAATCGAATTGGTCATAACGTGCGCGCAGCTAGCCGCCAATTGGATTGCAATATATGTTGTCCACTTCTCTCCTCGATCGATTAACTTCTTGTGATCTTGCCAATTGCTCCAGTTATTCCCGTTGCTGCAGCTGCTCCGCTTCTGCTCTTCCAAGATCTCTTTATTTGGGGTTTATCTGCCTCTAGCTGTGTTTTGGCCAGCTTGGAAATTGTGGAAGGTAGCGGTTCTTGGCTGGATGGATGGAAGGAAGGAAGGACGTGTGTGCCGTTGGAGTTGGAAGGGGAAGCACACGTTGTGTGGAAGTCTATCGCGTAGGTGGGGTCCTGATCCTGGAAGCTGCCTGGAAGTTCTGCTCTCCTGCGTGTGTTGTGTTGTTGGTTCTGTGCAAATAATGCCTGAATTTAGTATGTTGTAATCGTAAACGCGAAATGTACGTTGTTGCTAAGACGTGACACACACATGCACAGCTCTCTTTTACTCTCTCACACTAACACCTGTACGCTGTATTGTAAATGTCTTTCTTTTTTTTCGTTTCTTTCGTTTTTCAAACTGAGCTTACAACAAATAAATGTTTTCGGACTTCAAATGCAGGCAGGCAATACACAACACTCTCTTTGTGTTTGTATTTCTTCACGGTTTCGAGAATTTCACTTCCGTAATTTGTAAATTTTTTTATACTTTCAAAAGTATTTACGCTCTCTCTCTCTGCCACTGCCTCTCTCGATCTCGATCTCACTGTCTCTTGCTCTCTTGCCGTTGGCATATGTATGTGTGCGCTGATTGCAAATAACACAATTTCTTTTGTTAAATAATATGGTATTTTAATTGGGTTAAGGTAGGCAGCATGTATGCTCGCTCTGTCCCTGTTTCGGCTTCGCGAGAGAGAGATAGAGACGGGGTGGCGGAAGGCTGTTGCTGCTGCCTTTGCCACTGCTCTTGTCCGTTCCTTGTTGTTGCTTCCACTTTTTTTTGTTTTTTATTGAAAGTGCCGCAAGCAGCAGCGACTCCTGCGCCAGGTGCCAGAGCGTTGTCTCAGTGGGTGCGTGCCTGCCTGCTCACTCACTCATTCACTCGCATATAGGTATGTACAAATATTTGTATGTAAGAGAGCACCTCAGGTCAGTCGGCGGCCATAAGCAAAATCAAAGACAGCAAAAGCAAGCAATCAAATCAATGCTGCTGGCTGCTCGCACACGTCCGTGACTGCTCTCGCTCTCGCTCTGGCTCACTCTCCCGTCGATCGTGGTCGGGCGCGTTGAAGCGAGACAACTGCTGTTTTGATTGGCTTCTCCGCAATTGTTGTTGTTATTATTGTTTTTGCTTCTGCTGCTTGATCATTTTTCTTTTCGCTTTTTCGCTAAAAATCATCTGAGTTTGTACGTTGTTTTTTTATATATTTTACTGCTGCTGCTGCTGCTTATTATATTATTTTTTGTCCACAGCTAGTATATTAGTTGCACATAGATACACATAAGTACGTTTTTGTCAATCAAACTGTGTTTTATGTGTGCACACTCACACTTGTAGACACATATCGTCGTTTCTTTGCACACGCACACGAAATTGTTGTTCAGTTTTCAGCACTTGAAATGTTGTTAAATTTTTGTAATATGCCTTTTTTAACCACTTTACTTTTGGTGCTTCGATTGCATTGGTATTGGGTTGCGCTCGCACACAGTCACACAACATACGCTTTACGCGTTCTTCGACTCTTTTACTTAAGACATTTTTGGATATTTGTGGAATATATTTGTTAGATATATTTATTATTTTTTGGCACTGGTTTTGAATTGTGAGTGTGTTTATTTTATTTTACGTGTTTTGCAAATGCAGTTTGTTTGCTGCTGCTGTTTTTTTTGTGTGGGGGACACTTTTGCAGTGTGTCTGTCTGTGAGTCCCAAGGTATCTTAATCAACGTACAAAAGGTATCTGCTAAATGAAATCGAAACGAGTTGCTTTCAAGTGGTTGCCCGTTGCTTGCTCTTGCTCTTGTTGTTGCTGCTGCTCTCTTTGCTCTCTGGCGTGCACTCGTTTATTACAAGTGCGAGAGCGAGACAACGTTAGTGACAGGCAGGACAGGCAGCGAGTGAGTGATCGTTCTCTTTTTACTGATTTGGGACTCTCTTAACCTCTCGTCGCATTTGGAATGTACGTGCCTTGTATCACTTGCTGTCATTTTCGCTGTGGTTGGGTTGTTGTTGTTTTTGTAAGTGAGTGAGCTCAAAGAAGAAATGAAAACAAGTTTGCAATTTAATGTGCGCACTTGGCAGTCGTCGACGTCTCATTCCGTTTTTAATCTCTCTTGTAGGTTGTGGCTCTTCTGTGATGTGCGTGTCGAAAAAAAAGCTAAATACCTGCAGCCCTCCACGTCTAAGCATATACATTTGGACATAAAGGAAAAATATATATATAAATCGCTTACGTTATGTGTTTGTGTATGTGTTGATTAGCTGGAAAAACTGCAGACGGCACTACAAAAAATAGTTGGGCTTAATAGTGTGATTAACAAGCAGACAGGCACGGAGTACTTACGATTATTGTATTTCTACATAAAACCGATTTTCTCGAGGCTGTTCTTTGTTGTTCTTGCTGTTGAAACAGCTGTTTTGCCACCTGTATGCCCCCACCACGTCACACGTTGTAGTTTCTGCTGGTTTCTCTCTTTATCTCTGGTCTCTTTTCCTTTCTCTTCTATCCCTTTCACGCTCGCTCCGCCTTCACAACGGGGCAGCGAAAAAGTTTCCTCGGCCCAAAAAACCAAGCACAGCTAGTGCAACAACAACAGGCCGCCCGTCTCAATCAGCTGTTTTCCGCTCACTCGCTCGCCGAGCAGTGTTGGTTAGTGCGATTTATCGATTGGCGGGGGTGGGTTTTTCCTATCGGAGGGGCAGCAATCGATACAGAAATCAACACCAAATTAAACTTTAAATTGGACGTTGACTTCTTGTTGACGTATATGAATAAACTGCTTTTAAAGGCGTTGTTGTTGTTGCTACAGATGCTGCAAAATGGTGTTCAATTTAAGTATAAAATCACGTTTATGGCATTGTTGGCATACTTGGTTGGTTGATTGTTGCTTTTCTGTGTTAGTGTTGAACTGGTGATTTCTGCTCCGGTGCGTTCTAGTTTTGACTTGTTTTCTCTTTTCACTCTACACTTTTGATAAAAAAAAAGAAAGGAAGCACTTGAGTATTTTGTTTTTGCGTTTTCCACTCTCCCATTCAAACGCGAAACCGTTACTTGTACGATTTTTTTTTGTTTGTTTTGCGTTACGCGAACCGCCTCGATCATACGTTTTCCGCGCTCAGCTGTTTTGTGTTTACGTTACTACGTTACTCGCTCTCGCCGCTCGTTGTGTTTGCACTCTCTTTGTTTTTAAAAACTCTCTTAAGATTGATCTCTTGATAGCAAGAGAACTCGGAACTGAGAGCACGCGACATTATTCGCTCCATCATTTTTCTGCCATTTATTGTTGTTTTTTTTTTGTTCACTTTTGACATTTTTGCATATGAAAATTTTCCGCTTTCAGGTAGATTTACCGTAGCGCTGATCTTCTAACTCGACAAAGTGCGCGCCCGCTTGTGTGTATGTGCGTGTGATTTTGTTTTGAGTGCTCACATTTTCGCCGTGCCTGCTTTTTAGTCTACCGTTTTTGCCTGGCTTATCTCTGTTTGTTTTTTCGCTAGGAATTTTAGCCGTACACAAGCACACGCACACACACACACACGCACAAGGTAAGGTAAGCACGGATGTATTCAACAATGAAACTACAAACATATATTTCTATTTCGTTTTGCCCAACTGCCAGTGGGTAAAACAGTTAAACAGTCAAGGGCGCACACCTGCCCGTGGGAGTGAGGGAGAAAGCATCAAGTCCATGGAACAGACAGAAAGGAGAAGCGGAAAGATGAGAAGAAAAACCCCCCGACGACGGCAACGAATATAACTTCCCCCTCACCCCCACATTTCTAAATATCCGAAAGGTTGGCTAGAAAAGAGTCAACACATAAAAAAAAAAACAAAACTTTGCCAAGGTTAAAAAAAACTTCATTAATAATACACAGTTGGGGTCATAAAAATAACAATAAATCCATGGCTAAAACTTGTTTTTATATTAGTAGGATTTATTTTAGAACATGTTTGTTCCATTTAATGTTCAATAAATATGACCATATAATAGGCTGTCGTAAAATGCACAAAATGCATGAAATACTCTGCAAAGTGCTTCAAATGCTGACACAAAATCTCTATGTTTTCAATCATTTGTTGTTTCTCGACTATTTTCTTCTCCGGTACAGCTTCTTAATAGATACAAATAAATGCTTAATGGCTTAAGGGTGAGTCAAAACATCCACCTAGTATATCAATACTAAATGCACTTTCAAGTGCTATTTAACTCTCCTCCACTGTAAATACAAAGCTCTCTGCCTCCACTGATTCTGTGGTAGGTGGTGTGTGCGTGCGTGTGCCTCGGTAACAACAAATTCGCAGTCAACTTTAAACAAATTAGCTGAAATTCATACATACAAACGTATAATACAGCAGACTCACAGCCACCAAAAGAGCAATAATACAATTTCAAGTTTCGTTTTTGTTCAAATAGCATTGAGGGAAACACAGCGAGAGGCCAATGCACTGATATACATATATATACAGCATAAAGACTGACGACGAGGTGAAGTGTAGAACCGGAGACCTAAAGGAAGAGGTGGATCAGGGTCATGGGACAGACAGGGACAAGCGCAGGGGCAGGGACAGGATAAGGAAATGTGAGGATCTCGACAACAGCTGGCCGCAGGCATCAGGAGTCGTCAACCGCCCAAGCAACCACCAAAAAAATTAAACAAAGAGAATGCCCAAATGAAAAGGATACGACTATCAGTTACCTTGAATCCATAAGTATATATTGGGATTATAAACAGGGAAAAATGAATGGTCTTATAATGCCTTGGAAGCCGATTTTTAAGGACAGACCCTGACAACAAAAACTATCTTTGAAGTAAACCTCAAGATCAACGATTAGATTGGTTTTATTATTATTATTAAATAATGTTTTCTATCTTTAAATCTCATAGATCACTCTTTGATCCTGACTATGCATAGATTGTTCTTTAGTACTCCCTATTAAATTTAATTTTTTAGTAGTAATTAATAAATTCTTTAAACTGAAACTTCTTTTCAAACATAATTATAAAATAAAGTCAATCCTCAATTATAATACAATAAATATAATTTTTAAGATACAGTTTCCTTAATAAAGTTTCATATAGTTGCCATACCAAAAAATCAAAATACCCAGGTATCTACGAGGTATAACAAATGGAAATTTTTTGAAAAAAAAAAAGAGGAAAAGGAAGAAAAACGTGTGCAATGGAATGTTCAAAAGAAAAGGCAAACACACACGTTCTCGATGAGCACATACCCCTACCAGCTAGGTGAGACTATGTAAAAATGTATAATCTCACGGGGTGAAAAATAGATGACACACTCTTCTCCGCCTGTTGTTGTTTGGTTCTTTTCTCGTTTTTCCATCTACGAATATGTAGTTGTGTTTGTAGAGCGATGCAGCTGTCAGCTGTGCACGAGCAATTTTCTTTGTGCTACAGTTGTTCTTCGTAAGACCAACAACAACAACGGGCCAGTGATAACAATAACTAATGAGGAAGTGGGGCATCAAGAGCAACAATAAAACCACTGCGAAGACGGGCCTCTCAACTAACCAGATTTATATACATACATGTAAGTTATATAGATTCTTGGTAATTCTTGGCAGAACCAAAGAGTTGCAACCCTTATCGTTCGACCAATTAATCGATAGGAAAATGCAACCAAAACCTTTGAACACTAAATGAAATACATAGGTTCTTATCTGAACAAAGATTGTAAATAAATAACCCAGAGTGATCGTATAAGAAAGAGAATCTTTTGAGTGCCAACCCAGTATCAAATTTGAGACATTTTAATTAGAAAACCCGCAAGCGTTATCTTATCAAAAAAGAAATTAATACACAATATATAAAAGTATATACCTAAGCTTGCAGCCATTTCACAACTTTTCCAAATTAAGCTCAAAGTTAAGCAGAAAAAAATGAATATTATAATATAATTATTAAGAAAAATGCCGTAATAAAAATAATTCCATTTAAATCAGCAACCATAAAATTCAAAATAAAATGTCAAGGGTCAAGTCGGAAATCGATCATAATTAAATTTTAAATGTCAATTTTTCCTCCTTCATAGTTTAAAAAACTCATACTTAGCCAAAAAAAAGCATTTATTTTGATTCGGAAAACTTTCCCATGTTAGCTTTTATCAGATTAATAAATCTGCATACTCAATTTAAATATACAGAAAATTACAAATTGTATAAATTTTTAAAAGTTTTAACGATGTAACCCCTTATAAAAATTTTGAAAAATTGTAAAATTTTATTCTTCGACCGGACATGGCTAAATCGACTCGCCAGTTGATGCTTCTGAATAAAATATTAAGTCACTTGGAGAGTATTAACTATTTAATATAATTGCAGGCCCCAGCTAATTTACTAACATGCACCTACACCTTAAAATCGATGGGGAAAATAAATATTAAGGAAAACAACAAGTGTACTTGAAATGCAACCGACTGAGAGAGCAATAACGGCTGCGACACTTGGCTCACTATACATCCATACATTCATACATATATATTAAGTAAACGGCAAGTAGTATATACAAAGTGCAAGTGTGTGAAGTGAATAATCAATTGTCGAAGCCGCCGCGCCGATAATGATGATGGCAAACCGACTAGGAGGAGGGAAGGGGGAGAGAGGGATCTCTGTGGGACTGGGGACGGACCGGGACCGGGCATAGCGATTCCGGCAAACCGACGCACGCCTTATTGGTAATTACCCACACGGGAATCCCAAAATGCCATTGGACATTGAACATGTATGGCCAAAGTAGCGAAAATATATATATCTCTATATATTTCGTATTGTTTTTCCCCCATCATTTTGGTGCATTTTCAATATCGGGAGAGTCAGACAAACAAACCCACTCTCTCTCACACACACGCACTTACACACAAGCGAACCTCTATTTTATATAATAAAAATGGCAATATTTTAAATTTTATCTTCAGCGCTAGGCTATTTATAGTCCAGAAACGACAACGGTAGCACCCACAATACAAATGCTCTCTCGCAATGCCAGCTTTTATTTGTTTCGAATGTGTGAGTCATACATCAAGTGGGAAATATTTCACGATAAAAGGAAAATAATAATAATAAAAAGGTGCTAAATGCACATCAAGTTTAAAAAGTTCAAGCCAGATGTGTTCACAAATTCTCTTCAATAAAGTAATTGGTTATTACTATTTGATAATGATTTCCAAAGCAAACTGTTGTGTTAACATTAAACTATATCTGAGTTGGTTCCTAGTTAAATAGAAACTTTTACTATATTGTATATAACGTATAATCAAAGTAATCTTGAAGTCAACTAGTAATAGTAACCTTTAAACGAACTAATTGTGCAATTATCTAAAAGTAAACACTGACGTAAAATGTGAGCTTATATATCGTAAATGGTTTTCAGCGAAAACCAAAGTTCACTTCCATGTCGGGGAAAACAATCAACGCAAGTTTTCTAGGGTACAATTAATTAAATATGCCCCCCAATAATAACACAACAATTCATCCTAAGCTTATCTAAAGGCACTGAACTCGCTGGTGTACAAAGCATCCAGTCAGAAAATATATATCGAAAGCAAGAAATATATATGTATGTACATACATATATAAGAAAAAAGCCACAAAAAAGTGCGTACAATGAACTTGTAGCCTGTACAAATTCTCGATTCAGAATGACTTAAGGTAAAGGAGCTCACACAGCTGAAGAGTCAAACTGTTCGTTCAACGACCGATCATTGCATAATTCAGATTGGTTTTGCTTAAAAGCGAAAAGAGTGAAACGGAAATGCGTAGAGCTTTGCTGATATGGGTGTGAGTGAAGCAATTGATTTGGAGGATCGGGAAAACATTGACCGTGAATTGGCATAAATCGAATTTCAACATATATGAAACATGGACACGGCCAGGCACAAACCGAAAAGATTAGATTAGAGACCCCTGTGTGTGTGAGCTTATTTACGTGACAGCGTCGTTATCAGTTGCC